GAGTGCTACCGGCTCATATCGGTTCAGAAGAAGCACGAAGTCTATTGTACAACATCTGTGTCAAAGCAGTTGGTGGTTGATCATCTTCTATCATATATGCATTTAATTCAGTACCAGAAACATCTACGTCATTATTGGATTCATGATTACTACCACACAAATCGTATGCATCCTCTGGAGCTGGAGTATTAAAATACGTCATATGGTTATATAACCAGTATAAAAACGTGGCTCCCCATGATGCACCCAATTGTGATAATGCGGAACAAACCCTTCAGTGATCACATGAACTTTAACCGTTTCTGGATCTCGAAAACTTTTATTTCTGCATTTAGGTCGATTACATGGACACCTAATATTTCCTCGATCCATAAATATTGGCTTACTTAACGCAAATGTGATGAACTCCAACAATGGCCACTCTAAACCAGGATTAATAATGTGACCATTTATCAGCCTATTAATATTGTACATCCAAGATCGATCCATACAGAATACCAAAACCTATTTCTATTGTAATATTAAATTAAGATACTTAAATTAGTAAAATTTTATTTAACAATTTTTATTTTATTTTTTAAATTTCCTAAAAAATAAAAAAATAGGACTTATGGTATTATTATTGTAAATTACATGTAAAAAGAATTTATTGTTATTTTTATTAACATGCAAAAAAAAATTATTAAACTATGTTACATGCAAAAATATTTTCTCTACTTTTTGATATATTTTTCACCTTTTTAATTGAAAGGTTAATACTAATAAATTGATAGCATTATATTGTAAAAAATAAATTAAAACTTACTCAGCTCACAAATTCAATAGAAAATTTCAGAGTTCTGCAAAAATACCAAAAATAAAATTTAGAATTTTCTTTTTCTTTTAAATGTAAAAAATAATAATTATGTTATCAATATCATTAAAAATAAGTTTATTAATTAATCAAAAACAACTTCCATTAACTATATAAAAAAAGAAACAATTTACACTATATAACAAAAACAATCTAAATCATTTGAGTATGCTATATAATCTTTGTAGAGAAAAATTTTATTTTTTATAACAAGATGATTGAGTATGCTATATAAGTCATGAAAGTAAATATCTAAATCATTTAGATAAACAACATTCTCCAAGCTAAAATTACAATATCAAATAAAAAAATAAATGCATATAAATAAAAAAATAAAGGATAAATCCATAAATCAATATATTATAATTTCAAGTGGACATATAAATGAAAATTTAAATATTTAAGATAATAGAAAATAGAAAATAGAAAATACCTTCAACCAAGCTTGGTGTCTTGCTTGCAGAGAATAATGGAAGATTGACAGTGAGAAGAATGGGGGAATACACAGTAAATGGGGGGAATACACAGCAAATGGGGGAATAAAATTGGGAAGAAACGGGGTAGCTAGCTAACATTTAATGGGTATTAATTACACATGAATTTTTTAAAACTATTGAGAAGAAATGGGTATATTTTTTATTTCCGACAGAATGACTACTCTGTCAAAAATTAAATTGTTATATTTTAATTAAAAAAATTTTGACGGAATCATTGTTCCGTTATAAATTAAATTGATATTTTTTTTATTTCCGACGGATTGATGATTCTATCACAAATTAAATGAGTATATTTTAATTAAAGTTCAACACAATTTCTGACGGAATCATTGTCCCATCAGAAATTAAATTAATAATTTTTTATTTAAATGAATAGACTTTCTGACGAAAAAAATAATTTGGTCGAAAATTAATAATTTTGTGACGGAATCATTTATTTTCATTGATAATTTGTGGTTGATTTTAAATCCATTGAAAATTTTCCATCGGTAATTTAAAATTTTCTTATAGTGATAACCACTGTACTGGTGTTGTCACACCAAACCTTTGATACCTCTGACAAGTGAACGACCGTCTCTCGTAAGACGGCTTTAACCCACGTTTCCTTCAACGTTACATCTGCAAAGACTCCTATACTCAGTTTCTGCAGTTGACATGGACACCGCACATTATTTCTTTGAGCTCCAAGTGGGTAGATGATTTCCACTGTAGACATAATATCCAGAGATTGATCTTCTATCATCAACATCTCCCCCAATTGGCATCCAAAAAAGCATTGAGTTGCATTGTTTCCTGTACTTGTGAAGAAAACCACAAACCTGATTCTAACGTTCCTCGTAGATATCGTAAAATTCTCTTAACAGCCAACCAATGTTCCTCAGTTGGTGCTTGTAGAAATTGCGCTGCTTTATTAAACGCAAAGGATATGTCCGGTCAAGTATGACAGATGTATTGAAGAGCTTCTATTACACTTCGATATTGTCTCGGATCACTTAAAACCTTTCCTTCATGCCTGCTCAACTTTGTAGAGGTTGACATGGGAGTAGTGGCAGCATTGACATCATACAATTGAGTTTTCTGCAAACTTCATACAATTGACATCATACCACATTCAGACCTGTGCATCTCGATTCCAAGGAAAAACTTAAGTTGTCTGAGATCCTTCAACGAAAACTTTTCATTTAATTTGAGAATGGCTTCATACACATCCTTTTGAGAATTCCCTGTGACTAATATATCATCTACGTAAACAACAATGTATGTAATGTTGTCATCCGTTTTGCGCACAAATAAAGAAGAATTAACCGTCGATGATTTGGATCCTAGAACATGTAGAAACTCTTGATGTTTAAGGAACCAGTTCCTTGGTGCCTGTCTCAGCCCATACAATGCTTTTTTCAGTTTGTATAATAGAACCACGTGTCACTAACGACCTAACTATACATATAACACTTAAAATTCATTAAGATCTGTAATCGATGATACAGATTACATATCATAAATGAAAAGATCAAGACTCAATATTAAATCCCGATAATTCCATGAAAACACTACTAACAAGAACTACAATAAAAAAAGTTCGAACATTCTTGAGTTTGATCGCAAGACTTCAAATCCACACCACCAACATCTTCCGAAAATCTAAACCCTAAATCAGCTAACCACCAAGCCGTAAAGAGTCCTGCACTGCCTCTTCACAGCATAAACAACATCCATGGCAGTCACAGTCTTTCTCTTAGCGCGATCGGTTACGTTCTCTAAGAAAATCTTTGGGACTCCCACGAGTTTCCTCGTATATTAGGTTGATGATACGCTTTACTCCTCCCCGGCGAGCTAGACGTTGAATCGTGTGAAATGTTCTACTAATAATTTCCCCCGTTGATAAGTTGAAGGAGAAACTAAATTTTGTGAATTGTTTATAGGAAAGTGAGGAAATTTTGATTTGGGACAGTTATCCGTGTGAAATATTCAACTAATAGTTTTCTCGTATACACGGATCGGTGACGCGGATAACTTTCACGGTTATAATGTTTTTCTGTGATTTGAAAACGCGGAATGATTTTTGATGCGGAAACAATCGCTCCATTATTTGGCAATTTGGGACAAATTTTAAAAATTGTAGCCTTGTCACCAACTTTGTAGATGAATGCAATTTAGTCTAATTTATATTAATTTAAGTTTTATGTTTTGTGACTGTTTCAATTTGATCCATAGATATAATTTAAGTTTTTTTAAATTCTGGTTTTTAATTTCATATTTATTCAATTTAATCATAAATTATATTATTTTGATTTTTATTGATTATAATTTTAAACATTTTAACGATAAATTTGAAGGTATAACAATAAATTTATTTTTTAATGATTACATTTTTTATCATTTTGAGTTTTATTTTTCAAAAATTAAATTTTACTTTTTATGTAATACATGTATGTATGTAATTTATTAATGCATGTATCATGTATGTATAATTGTATGTGATATGTATTTATGTATTGTACTGTATATATGTAATATTGTATGACATGTATGTATATTAAATTATAATTGTATGTGATATGCATTTATGATACGTATGTATGTATGTATGTATAATTTATGAATGCATGCATCATATATGTATGATATGTTCGACCGAATGTATGATATGTATGTATTCATGTTCAATCGAATGTATGATATGTATGTATATAATTTATTAATGCATACATGCATGCATGTATGATATGTATATATGTGTAATATATTAATGCATGTATCATGTATGTATATATTGTGTAATATGATTTTTTTTCTCGGCAAGTGATTTATTAAAAAAAGACACAATTTAGAAGCCTCGTTAAAAATCTCTTTGGAAGAAAAAATTAATTCTAACTAGGCAAGGATGCAAATAACGAAAATTTTAACTACAAAGCACCAAAACACGACAAAACGAACCACCCCAAAAATCTAGCTTACCAACAAGTACAAAATAGAGATAAAAGCAGAGTCTAATCAAGCCTAGTAAAAACTACAACTAAACAACGACTATGGCCTTCAAATCGAGCAACAAAGGAGTCCTCAAGACCCAACAATTAATCACATCGCATCTACGCAATGGAAATAACCAAAACTCTAGAATGAAACCATAAGCCAGCAGCCTTCTACTAAAGGAGTTCTCAAATACAAGCAAAGAACAAACCCCAAAGACAAAACACGAGCCACCAAAACTTGCAAAAGTCAGCAAGCAAACACCACCCCACAATCACCTGTGTGCACTTGAGCAGCAAAAACAATGAAGAACTCAACCAGATCAACTCTCTGGAAAGTTGTCAGGATGGGAAAAAGGAAAACAAAACCCATTACGTTACCACCAAGCTTTAAAAAGCACCTCTCCCCTACCATCTAATGCTAACTATTGGGGCAACCCAAAAAATGTTTGACTAGCCAGACCAAAAGCAACATTCCCAAATTTACCTCTAAGGCTGTCAACTTCCATTTGATTTCATAATCAGAGAAATGAATGAGGAATTAATGTTTGTTGGCAGCTTACCCCTTTCGTGAAACGCATTCATCAACAGAAGCAAATTATCTTTCAACAGCACCAAATAGTGTTTGTAAAACTTCAAATTGAAACCATCCAGCCCCGACACCTTCAACTCATCGCAGCTCTAAATAGCATGTTTGATTTCTTCTATTAAGAAAGGAGCCTCCAGCTTCTTTGCCTTCTTCTTCAAAGCACTTTTGAATGCTAGGTTAAATTCTGACATCCAAGATCTTTTCTTGCAATTGAAATGATTTTTAAAATGGGAGAACATCAACTTCTTCAAGCTACTCGGGTCCCCGCAATATTTATCACCAAATTTCAAGCCAATTATTACTTTTCTTTTAGCTCTAATCTTCACAGTCTTATGAAAGAAGCTGGTATTTAAATCCCTCAGTTGTACCCAATTCATCCTGGATTTCTGTCTCCAGAGATTTTCTTGTAGTTGCAATGCATCCCATAATTCCAGTTTTACAGCCCTTAAAGCCGCCTGATCTCTGTCGTCTAAAGGACCTCTATTCCCAGCTTCCTCCAATTTATTAATCTTGTCCTCCAGTGACCTTACCTTGGTATTAAAATCTTCACAATGCTCGACATTCCATCTCCTTAATTTCCCCTTCAACCGATATAGTTTCAACCACAAATCTGTTTGATTTGCACCTCCACTGCCAAGAACTTTATTTACCTCATTTTTGTACTCATCTTTCAATAGCCAAGCATTTACAAATTAAAAAAGAAAATGGCGCAGGATAAAGGAATGCTCTGGGTGCATTTTAGCAGGACTAATGGCAACCGAGCTTTATGTTGATTCGCGTTCGTCTGTCCTCCGATTGCCTCTCTTCATCTTTCACTGTTATTGGGTTTCTTCTGTCGCTCATCTATTTTGCAATGGATTGGAAAAAACTCTTCAAATGATCTGAATCGCAAGACCTAGAGTTCTATCCATCAAATGTCCGCGATAGTTGCTTGATTGTGCTTCCCCCTCCAGAAATTATTGATGCTGGTATTTCTGAGTGGAAACTTTCCCTGGTGGGCCAGTTCCTCGTAGTCTCACCAAACTTCTATTCGCTGCAACCTATTGTTGACAATGTCTGGAGTAAAGCTCTGCTGGGATCGTGCATCCAGGTCAGTTTTGCTGGCAACAACTTATTTATTTTCTCGTTCGATAATGAATCGGCCAGAGAGTGGGTTCTCGATAATGGCCCTTGGCACATTCATAACAGAACCCTAATCCTTTGAAAATGGGAACCTAATATGAAAAGCCTGAATTTTGATTTAACTAAGATCCCTGTCTGGGTTCATCTCTTCAACGTACCATTAGAGCTCTTCTCCTGATTAGGGCTTAGTTACATTGCCAGCGCCATTGGTGTTCCTCTATCAATGGATTCTGTTACTGCTTCGAAGTCTAGGCTGGAATTTGCGAAAGTTTGTATCGAAGTAGGAGTCAACGATATTATCCCTAACTTCATTGAAGTAATGCTTAAAGATGGTCTTAAAGCCTCGATTAAAGTCGAGGTTCCATGGTACCCTCATGTTTGTAAGAGCTGTAAGATGTTTGGCCATCTTGAAAAAAGATGCCAGCAAAATTCTAACCCTATCCCTTATGTTTTCCATTTATGAAAAAAGAAGGAAGGATCTGTTGCTCATCCAGCAGCTAGTCCTATCGGAGGGGTTGAAGCTATTGGAGGCGTTGAAGTCCTACAAGAATCTAACACTAATGAGTCTTGTGATGCTGATACTAATCCTCTGCCTTAGAGAATTTTCCTAACAATTCTGACACTTAATCTCTCATGAAGTGGAAGTTCCTTTAACTGTGTATCAAGTAGAGATCATGGCTACTAAAAATAGTCTTAATTTAGTTGCTGAAAAGGAGTTTTTTGGTCCTCAGTCTTCTGAACTTTCTGATCTAAGCTTACCTGTTGATAATTCGACTTTTCAGCCTGCTGAAGCTCCTACTTCTATTCTATCTTCTGGAAATTATCTTTCTTCTACTCTTCCCCTTGAAGCTCCTACCATCACTCATCCTGAATCTTCAAAAAAGGTAGAGGTCGGCCTAGAAGGGACAATGCTAAGGGTACCCTTGCTCCTTCAAAAAACAGATTTGATATCCTCAATTCTGTTGAGGAATCATCTCCTTTAGAAGTTCCTCAAAGGAAGCCTAGAGTTGCTTTATTGGGTGTTAATGTTTTAATTAACGAGATGAAAACAAAGAAAAGAGACCAACTTGACAAAAGAAAAACTCAATCAGTTTCCAGTCATAGGGGTTCCTTGGGAACACCACCCCAATGCTTATCAGTTTTGGAACATAAGAGGACTCAACAGTCCTCTAAAATAGAATAAAGTGGCTCTTAGAGACCTACAAAACAATGTGGATATTCTTTGCCTTTTGGAGACCAGAGTGAAAGTAGAAAAATCAGAATCTATCATCAATTCAAAATTCTCTAATTGAAATGTTTGCACCAATTATGATCATGCTTATAATGGCAGAATTTGGCTTCTTTGGAGGAAGGGAATTGATTTAACTATCATTCAAGTTTCTCAACAGTGTATCACTGCTAAAGGGACTGCTTTTGGAAATTCAGTCTACATTTCTGCATTCTATGGCAGTAATGAAGGGATCAACAGAAGACTACTGTGGCATAAGCTAAAGGAAGTTAGCACTATTGTTAATCAAGCCCCTTGGGTCTTAGGAGGAGACTATAACATATTCTTACCTTCTCACGAAAACTCTGACCATGAGCTGTTAGGTCCTTATTCCTTACCAGATATGAAGGATTTTCAAGAATTCACTAATGAGCTTGAACTCCTTGACCATCCTTATTTTGGTCCTAAGTTTACTTGGAGTAACAAGAAACATGAATTCTTTCTTGCTAGGAAGCTTGACAGGATTCTGATTAACTCGAGCTGGGATTCTTTCTTTCAACACTCATTTGTCGAATTCCTTTCCCCTGGAATCTCCGATCATAGCATGGCCATCATCTGGATCTCCAAAGATAACCCTGCCACCATACCTAAACCATTCAATTTTTTTAATTTCTGGGCTTCCCATCCCTGTTTCACCAATCTGGTTAGGTACTCGTGGAATCAAGAAGCCTTTAGTGATCCCATGTTGACTCTTTTCTTGAAACTTAAGAGACTCAAACTCTGCCTAAAGTCTTTCAACAAAGATAAATTCAGCAACATTTCAAACCGTGTGAAACTAAAAAGAGCTGAACTGGAAAATCAGCAGCTTCTTACTCTGATTGGAGATGATTCCATTGTGAAGGAACTTAACCTTCAAGATCAGCTGAAGGCTCTGGAAGAAGCTGAATCTATGTTTCTTAAACAGAAGGCTAAAATTCATTGGATAAACGATGGTGACAAAAACATCAAGTTTTTTCATTCAATTGTTGCTTCCAAAAAAAAGGGATACTATTAGAGTCCTCATTGATGATAAGGGCAAAAGACTTGAAACATTTGATACCATGGCTAATGAGGTCACCTCTTTTTTCACCCAGCTTCTTGGTACTGTCGACCCTCTGGTCAAGGACATTGAACCCTCAATTCTCAAAGATCCCCTTAACTATTCTTTTCCCATTGAAGCTTTATATTCCCTGGTTAAGGAGGTCTCCACTGAAGAAATCCATTTTGCCTTATCCTCTCAAGGAAATGATAAAGCTCCTGGCCAAGACGGATTTTCTCCAGTTTTCTTTAAGAAGTGTTGGTCTATAGTGGGAGAAAATGTTACCAATGCAGTGAAGTACTTCTTCTGTAATGGTTTCATACATCCATCTTTCAACTCCACTATCATTGTTCTTGTTCCCAAAGTTCCCAACCCTTGTGATGTCAAAGACTATAGGCCAATATCCTGTTGTTCTGTCTTATATAAAATTATCTCCAAAATCATTGTTAGTAGAATGACATCTTTCATGCCCCAGATTATCACCTTGAACTAGACTGTTTTTATTCATGGTCGCAACATCATAGATAACTCTCTTCTTGCTCAGGAGATGGTCAAGGGATATGGAAGGAAAAATTCATCTCCAAGATGCTCAATGAAAATTGACCTCCATAAGGCTTTTGATTCATTGCATTGGAGATTCATCTTATCAATTCTTAAAGTGCTTAACCTGCCTCTTACTTTTATTGCTTGGATTGAATCTTGCTTCACCCAGGCTCGTTACTCTATTGCTTTTAATGGTACCTTGCTAGGTTATTTCAAAGGGGCAAGAGGTCTAAGACAAGGGGACCCTCTTTCCCCTTATCTTTTTGTGCTTGCTATGAATGTTCTTTAAAAAATGCTTAATCTTGCTGCAACCAAAGGTCTCTTTGCCTATCACCCTAAATGCAAGAAAATTGGGCTTACTCACCTCTCCTTTGCTGACGACCTCCTGATCTTCTGTAAAGGAAATGTTGATTCAGTGGCAGGTGTTTTGAGTGTTCTTTATCAGTTTTATCAAATTTCTGGTCTAAAACTAAACTCGTCCAAATGTGATATTTTCTATTATGGTATTTCTTATTCGGTTCTACAGGATCTGAAAATCATCTTAGGGTTTAAAATGGGATGTTTACCAGTTAGATACCTTGGTATCCCCCTTGTCACATATAAACTGTCTCTGAAGGACTGCGAACCCTTGCTTGACAAAATTAGACAGATATTGCACCACTGGTCTGCTAGAAACCTCAGTTATGCAGGTAGACTAGAACTTATCAGATCAGTTTTAATCAGCGTTTGTAACTTCTGGTGTAGACAACTAATCTTACCAACTTCTATCTTAAAATATGTGGAGCAACTATGCTCAAGGTTATTTTGGAAAGGGGCAGACAAAAAGGTAATAGGAGCTAGAGTATGTTGGGATTAAATCTGCACTACTAAGTCTGAAGGTGGTTTAGGCTTGAAAAATATTCCCACCTGGATCAAAGCTTGCATTATTAGTCTCATAAGGAAGATTCTTTCTGGTGATGGTTCACTTTGGGTCGCTTAGCTTAATCACTACATTTTTAAACATCAAAGCTTTTGGCAGTTTGAAGCTGGGAACTCTACAAGCTGGAGTATTCATAGAATACTCAATTTGAGGGACACGGCTTATCCCCTATTTTGTACAGGCTCCCTACAGACCAAGGAAATCTGGGACAATATCCGGATGCAACGTCTGAAAGTGCAATGGCACAAGCTTATTTGGTACCCTATGCACATTTCAAAGCATAGCCTTATTGGTGGATGGCCTTATTAAATAGGCTACCTACTAGAGATCGGCTTCAAATCATGGGAATCACCACTAATGGAACTTGCGTTAATTGCAGGAATAATAACGAAACAAGGGATCATCTGTTTTCTCTTTACCCCTTGGCAGTTGATCTTTGGAGAGCTATCCTTAATTTGAATGGAATGAACTTCACCGTTCTGTATTGGGATGATATGGTTTATCGAGCTTGTTTAAAATGAAAGGGGAAATCTCTTATTACTACTATCTTGAAAATTGCTTGGAATGCTTATGTTTACTCCTTATGGCAAGAACGAAATCGAAGGATATTTCAAGGCAGATCCCATTCCAATTATAATTTGATCAAGGAAATCATTGAAGTTGTTAGCATACGGCTTAGAGGGAAACCTATTAATAGATTAGATAGCACTAATTTCTTTCTATGTAATGATTGGGGCATAGTTTAACCAATCATTGTTTTTTTTTTTGTATCTTGTTTTGTTCTCTTGCTGATTATTTGATTGGTTGAACGGTTGTTGTTCTTTGTTCTTTGGATAATAAAATTTTGATTTATCCAAAAAAAAGCATTTACAAATTTAAACGGCCTCGGTCCCCTATAAATGTTCTTTGTCGATAGCAACACTGGCAGATGATCCGATATTGATCTTTTCAAGCCTTTCTGAACTAAATCATTTAAGACTTGCAACCATTACTCATCTAGTAGGAATCTATCAAGAAGGCTCCTCTTCTTTTGAGGCCCAAACCATGTGATTTTTTGCTTCTTTGTAAAACCTTAAACCAATAAGATACACAGTCGACCGATTAGAATACCACAAGGAACCACCGGAGTGACTAATTCAATTTTTTTCTTATTTTTATTAAATAGAATGACCATTTGAAAATGATTTTTAATGAAGAAATCCTTCCATAAAATGTAATTAGAATTGTACATCGGGAGCTCCCAAAATAGATATATACATAAAAATATATAGACCAATTATTCAAATAAAGTTATGACTCAAGTGTACAACAGGGTCTATAAATATATATGCCCTTTAAGAAAATAACTCGAGAAGTACTTTGCTCTGCACTTGGTCTGGACCTTGGCCACTCAAATGCTCCTCGAAAGATCCACCTACTAATCTACGTGTAAGTAAACAAATTCCAAACGCTGAACTAACTAGCCCAGTGCCACATTGACAACTAAATCATACTAAAAGTGTATTAGTAAAATGTTCAAACTATCAAGTCTAATGCATAAGTGAGTATACAAGTATACTCACTCTATACTCTATGGTAGACATCTTGGTGTGGCTGAGGGTTTTGCATCTCGGAGCTCACACACCCCTCTAGTCTACTGACGATGAAGCCTGAAACTCTACATCAATCAACACCCTCGACTTACCTACCTCTTACGAGTGTCGGGCCTTGGCCTTAGTTTGTCACTTTAAAGTGTCTTCCATACTACCTAAGGATATCCAGATTGATTCTAAACGTCGATACTAGTATCACTGATGAGTGTTCAGAATCGTTAATCTTTGCTCGTTATTTCTTTGATTTTGTGGAATTATTTCTACTGAATTGGTCGTGTTATACTTGTTTTGTGTAGGTCCTTACTTTCCAGAATTAGTGATAAAATGAGCACATTATGTATTTTTTTATTATTATTTGGTCATAGTTGGAGACATGGGAATGACTCTGGGAATGACGCGGTGTGACGTGGCAGTTTCTAGAAGGTCCAGTCAACGACGGTTTCTAGACGACTTACTCTGCACACCTTCTGGAAGATTAACGAGCAGAGTTGCATTAAGAGACTAGTTTAAGTTTGGATTTAAATTTAAAAAAAAAATATCTTAGGATTATTTTATTTTATTTTCTTGTTTATCCTTAGGCTTTGAGAGGCTATAAATACCCACTTGGGGTAAACCTAAAATCATCACTCATATTACAATCTTCTTTTCTCTCTAGTTTTTATAAAAGCTTTCTCTTTTTACTTTTCAAGTTCTTTTCATTTTTCTTTTTTTTTCAAGCTTTGTTTTCAATATGCTAAGTATGACTTTTGTCATGCTTAGCTAAATTTTTCATAAGCCAAGAGCTGACGCGATGACTCAATTCCAACGTGAGAATTGAAACAAGCCCTTAATATATTTGGAATATCTCTCTCAATCTCTGCGCTTATTTTTCAAAATCAAAACAGTTTTCAAAATCAAAGATTGACTTTGGTCAAGAGGTTATTGCGAGTAAACATGTGGGAGGAAGATTCGGATTATAGAAAGCAATTTGACTTCCTGGGAACACACTTGGCGAGATGGCTTCGCCAAGAGGGAATTGAGATCAGAATTGATGGTTATTGAAGAAACAATCCGAGTCGGTTTCCACGAACTTAAACGGTAATTGATATACAACAATTGATGTTGTTAGAATCAATTACCGAAGCCGGAATCAAAGATTGCCTTGGGTATTCGGTATACAAGATAGAGTCACAGGGATTACCCTTGTAGACAAAGTAACCGACATGAATCTCGGAGGGAAAATCTTATTCGATGATCTAAAGGAAATTGAGTCAAAACAAGGATTGAGGCTATTTTTACAGTATTCATTCACAACCTTTATTCTCTTATTTCTACTTTAATAATTTTTATTTATTTAATCATTTTTATTATTATTTAAATATCATTTCACCAAACCCCCACCCCCATTTTACTGTCTTTAGTCTGGTTTAAAACCAATCAAACATAAATTTTTGATTTTCTATGTCCCTGAGGATTCAAACCTTATTTCTCTATACTACGCATTTTCTTATTGATTAATTGAGAAAAAGGAATTATTTTGACATAAAAAATGATAGTTGTCAAATTGGCATCGTTGTCGGGGACTTCGCCAAAGTTACTAATTTTTTGTTTGCTTTTGATTTATGACCAGGACTAATCCGGGCGCATTAGTGGAGTACGACCAGGAGATCAAAGACAAAGCTAGGAGACTCCACACAGATGCTTCGGGAAAGAAAGAGACAACAATTAAATCCAGGAGAAGAATCAAATTTAGGTGAATCCGTTAATACAATTCTGATGGTCGATCCTACTATCTGGGAGTTAGCAGCGGCACCCACCGAACAAGGGCCTATGTGCATTGATTTTCCCCAAGGCAAAACTCTGTACCAATTGAAAATCGGCCTTATTCATCTCCTTCCTACATTCCGTGGATTGCCAAACGAGGACCCACACAAACATCTCAAGGAATTTCACATGGTCTGCTCTCGTATGATACCACATGGAGTAACCGAGACCAAATCAAACTTAGAGCTTTTCATTTTCCTTAGCCGATTTGGCTAAGGAGTGGTTATTTTATCTTCCTCCTAATTCTATTACTATATGGGCTCAAATGACTCGTATTTTTCTTGACAAGTTTTTCCCTACGGCGAAGGTAAGTGAACTACGAAGGAGAATACTTGGAATCAAGCAGCTTGATGGAGAGTCACTTTACGACTACTGGGAGGAATTTAAGATGTTATATTCTAGTTGCCCACAACATGGGTTAACTGAAAAAACACTCATTCAATACTTTTATGAAGGATTATCTCCCCTGGAAATGAAAAATGATCGATGTTGCCAGCGGTGGAGCCTTGGTAAATATGACTCCTACCGAGGCAAGGGACTTAATATCCACGATGGCCGTAAATTCCCAACAATTCCACCCAAATAATGAACCTTATCGAAGGGTTCATGAGATAAGTTTGTATTCCTTAGAAAATAAAATAGATAAGTTAACTGAAGTCGTAAATTCTCTTGTTACAGGAAAGACGGGACAAAACCGATTATGTGGAATATGTGCATTACCTGATCATCCGAAAAACGGTTTTCCACTGATTCAAGATGACACAGCAGCTCAAGTCAATGCAGTTAGGAATTTTCTGAGACCTCCCCAATGATCTGATAACCCCTACGGCAAGACTTACAACCCCTACGACAATACTTACAACCCATGATAGAGGGATAATCCGAACTTCATTTATGCTCAGAACCCGAGACCGAATCAAGTTTATCAAGCGAGACCACCTCCACCACCACAACAGCCGCAAAAGACATCATTGGAGTCGATTTTCGAGAGGTTAGAACTTTCCCAGGAAAAATTCCAGAATCGTACTGAAGCCCACTTACAAAAGATAAACAAGCAGGTGAATCAACTAGCTCAAACCGTAGGTCACTTGGAATCACAAGGTAAGCTTCCATATAAAACTGAAGTAAACCCGAGGGAGAACATCAGCGTCATCACTCTTCAGAGCTGTACAGTAGTGGCTCCACCTGTTCCATCAGACAAAGCAACCCAAAAATATAAGAAGATTGATGATCCATGATCCTAGAAAGAGAATAACGAAGAACAAACAGACGACCCGACGCCACCGCTCTATGACGTTCCACCATCTTTTTCATCGAGGTTAGTTAAAAAAGATAAAAAAAAGCTAAGGAAAAAGAAATATTAGAGTACTTCAGAAGGTGGAAGTTAACATACCTCTCCTCGAGGTTATTCGGAAGGTTCCAAGGTATGCCCAATTTTTGAAGGATCTCTATACTACCAAAATAAAGCTGATAGGTTAGTGATCTATCCAGAGGGACTCTTAAAGAATGTATTGGTGGAGGTAAATGAATTGATATTTCTCACCGATTTTTATATAATCAACATGGAGAATGATCACACAAACACATCGTCTGATATCCTGTTGGGGCGCCCTTTCTTAAGAACTACACACACAAAAATTGACGTTAGGAGCGGAATTTTAACTATAGAATTTGACGGTGAGATTGTTAAATTTTACGTATATAAGGCAATGAGATATCCTGATAAAGTAGAAAGTTTAAGTTATGTCAATTTAATTGATCCTTTGGCTGATGAATTGTTAAGGACTAATTTTTCCTTTGATATATGCAGGGAGCTAGAGGAGCATGATGAAAACGTGAATTTCGATCATACCTAATTGAATTTGATTTATTCTAAGCCTAAAGTTTTACCTTCTGTTTTGCAGGTGCCCGAAGTTGAACTTAAACCATTGCCTGATCACTTGAATACGTCTTCCTCGGAGCAAACAACACTCTGCAAGTAATTATATCAAAAAAATTATCCGAAAAGGAAAATGACTTAATCATTATTTTGCGCCAATACAAGGAGGCTATAGGATGGACAATCACTGACACAAAGGGTTGAGTCCATCTACTTGTATGCATAAAATTAAAACCGAAGGCGCAAAACCAACACGGGAAGGTCAACGCCGGCTAAATCCACCAATGATGGAAGTAGTAAAAAAGGAGACACAAAAACTTCTAGATGCAGATATTATATATCCAATTTCATATAGGAAATGGGTAAGTCTGATACATGTAGTTCCTAAAAAACAGAAGTTACTATGATCGAAAATTCTGAAGGAGAACTTATGCCAACACAAGTTCAGAATGGATGGAGAGTCTGCATTGATTACAGAAAGTTGAATTCTTTAACTCAAAAAGACCATTTTCCTCTTCCATTCATAGATCAGATGATATAACGATTAGATGGTAAATCTCAGTATTGTTGTCTTGATGGATTTTCAGGTTTCTTCCAGATTCCAGTAGCACCTGAAGATCAAGAAAATACGACATTCGCATGCCCCTTCGGCACCTTCGCCTATCGACGTATGCCTTTCGGACTTTGCACTGCACCTGCCATATTCCAAAGGTGCATGATTAGTATTTTTTTCTAATTTTATTGAGAAATGTATTGAAGTCTTCATGGAAGACTTCATTGTTTACGATAATTCATTCAATGTGTGTCTATTAAACTTGAAAAATGTGTTACGTCGGTGCCTAGAATTTAACATTGTTTTGAATTATGCAAAGTGTCACTTTATGGTTGATAAAGGTTTAATTCTAAGCCATATTGTTTCATCTAAAGGAATTGTGGTAGAAAAGGCAAAAACTGATATAATACGTTCACTTCCTTACACCACTATGGTGAGGGAAATTCGTTCTTTCCTTGGTCATGCAGGTTTTATCATAGATTCATCAAAGACTTCTCTAAGGTGGCGCAACCATTGTGCGAGCTATTACAGAAGGATAAAGCCTGTAATTTCGACCAATAATGCCAGTAATCATTCGATGTATTAAAGGAAAAGTTAGTTTCGACACCCATGGTACAACCGCCAAATTGGAACTTTCCCTTCGAAGTTATGTGTGATGCTTCGGATGGAAGTGTTGGAGCTGTGCTCAGACAAAAGATTGGGAAAGAGCCTCACGTTATCGCTTATACGTCCCGTACCATAGATTGCGCACAACGGAATTATTCAACGACCGAAAAAGAATTATTCACTATTATTTTTGCATTAGATAAATTTAGATCATATCTTCTTGGCACTAAAGTTATTATTTTCTCTGATCATGCAACCTTGAAGTACTTGCTCAGCAAAAAAGAGGTGAAACCACGACTAATCCGTTGGATCTTACTCCTCCAAGAGTTTGATTTGGAAATCAAGGACAAGAAAGGATGTGAGAACTTAATGGCCGATCACTTAAGCCGGCTTCCAATCACTACAATTGATCCTCCCATTCGTGAAGAATTCTCGAAGGAAAGCTTGATGATGGCGCAGAAGTCAATACCTTGGTTCACATATATAGTTAATTACTTAGCTACATGTAAATTAATGTCTGGTTTAACGAGAGCTGAAGTAAACTGCATTAAAAAAAATTTCATTTCTTCATTTGGGATGATCCATACCTTTGGAAGAATTGTTCAGACCAGGTAATTCGATGATGTGTTCCTGAAAGCGAGGTAAGCTCAATTTTAAATTTTTGTCATTTTTATTCCTGTGGTGGACACTTTGGACCGAAGTGAACTACTCATAAAATTTTGGAATGCAAATTCTTTTGGCCTCATATTTTCCGTGATGCTTACTTGTTTTGCAAGTGTTGTGATAATTGTCAACGTGCAGGTAATTTAAGTCGAAGAAACGAAATGCCCCTTAATCCTATACATATATACGAAATATTTGATGTTTGGGGATTTGACTATATGGGTCCATTTGTTTCTTCTTTTGGCAATTGTTATATAATTCTTGCGGTTGATTATGTTTCGAAGTGGGTAGAAGCTAAAGCCACTCGATTTAAAGTAAATGGACACATGATTAAACCGTATTATGCAAATAGCGAAGTTTGCTTAATTGAAGATCTTGACTTAGAAGAACCTGTAGTCTGAATGAGATCGTCGAGCTAACGACGTTAAACAAAAGCGCTTCATGGGAGGCAACCCATTGTTTTCGATTCCGCTATATTTTTATTTTTATTTTTATTTTTACATTTTACATTTTGTTTTTGTTTCATCGAGCATGTTTAATTTAATTTCTATTTTTATTTTGCAGGAACTGAATATTTTTATTCAAACTTAAATGATAAAGAATTGCAGAAATTTCATTCGAACAATGCCAATTTCGGAACCTACAATGTAGTACACGATCGAACAAAGCAGAAAAAAGGAGAAGCCCAACTGTGCGCACCGTTTCATTAACGGCGCACTTTAGCAAAACCCAAGGGAGGCTTGGCACACGTTAGCAAACCAAAAAATAATTTTTCCCACCTTTTGTTTCTTTTCTACTGCCCACACTCCCCAATTCCCTCTTCTTTACTTTGTCGTGGACTCCACTCCTATTATCACTACACTTTTTTAATTTTCAAACACCTATTATCATAAAAATATCAAACCCCAATCTCTATCAATCCACTTTTCAATTTTAAACTCACCTTTATCCAAATAAAAAAACCAAAAGTCCTCATTACTTCCAATTATAAAACCCACGGCAGAAACCAAACTTAAACCCCCTTCATATTCTCCAAATCGACCACCACCCCTCCCCATTCTCACCGCCAGCGATTTCAACAAAAATCTAGTCGTTTCAAAACTCATGCCACCCGTTACCCCTAATCAACGATGGTGTGTACACGAAATCGACCCTACAACACCAACGCTCCTCCACCCACCGTCCTAGGAGGACATCGTTGCTCAAATGCACCGACGTTCATTGAGTTACCGAGCGACTCCGACTCCATTCCGCCATCACCCCCGGTTCAACCTACACAAGGTCGTGGCCAAGTCCCAACATCTCTGTATCATTCGGTATTTGCGCTGACCGCCTCTTTCAGCCCGGACCAGGCACATCTCTCCATCCATCACCTCCACGCTCTCCATCTCCGTTGTTTCACTCAATGTTGACCGAAGCACCATCTTCACACTCACGAAAGACGGCATTCCCGTCTTACTCGATGCATTCGGTGGCATCGGATAACACTCTCGAGGTAAACTCTAGTCCTGTTTCGATTCAACCTTTACTAATGTACCACCCAATCTATGGTTTTACAGAGGACTTTACTGTCGGTTTTCCACCCCCGTACCCATCGCCTACGACGTCAAGCTCTCGGCAGCACCACAGGCATGATGCTTCGCCGAATCGTCCACCTAGCCCGAGGGATGCTCCTGACAGCCCACCACCAACCCACGAAAACCCAGAGCATAACCGACAGGGTCGGTCATACACTGTCCCTCCCGAGGAGACGATGCACGGGTATTTACAATTTTCCAATGACAAACTGGTACGTTTTGAGTCAGTAAGACACCGTCCTTTCCGTGTAGCTAAGTATATTCCGACTTATACTTTAGAAACATTGCATTTACGTGAGTTTGTTCTCGCACATTTCGCTCCATTGGTTGGAATTTATACACGATGATTAATTGCGGAACGTTTTATGAACTTTTGTTTTAGTTCTATGCCACTTTTAATTTTTCGCAGCAACGAATTCTTAATGTTAATTCACCTGATGTTATTACATTCTGACTATGTGGAAGTTATTTTTCAATGTCTATATCATAATTTAATCTTGCTATGGGTTCGTGACGGATGTCACAGATTAGGCG